TAGAGAGTTGGTATTGTTCTAGCAAGGAGGAGAGTTAGGAAATGCAATGCCCTCGTATGTTGCTTTTGCAATTACACCATAAAAACATCGAGCTCACGTCATCAATTCTGCAGGGAAATGCCGTCTTTCTATAGTTTCGACTGCAGTAATAACGCGTGGGTTTCTCAGAGAACAATAATCGCTGATTACCGTAATGCAGCCTTTCAATGAAGCTGTACTAACGAGAGAAATGAAACCTGGGTAGAACTAGACGATTGAAATGTCAATGCCACACTGAAATGTGTGAGTCCACGCGTTCACTTTGTCCTGTTATATCTCCCATTTACATTCCCATAACCGAGTATATATTGAGTGCCAAGTATTATTTTAAACCAATTTGTGATACTATGGATCCTTAATCTGTTATCATATAAAAAAAAACCTTCCGATAAAACGAATGAGGTCATAACTAGGCTGGGAAGTATTCATGTCTGTTTCCGTGGGCTCGGCGTCAAGGAACCAAACTAAAACTGTGAGTGTCGATGTTAAGATAGATAGCAATTATTGTTGGTGTCTGAAATGCAGCTTATCACTCTGCACTCTGGGCACCAGACTATTATGTCGTGTTCTCCTCTTTGCCTTTCCCTGTGGGGCCAGTGAATTGGACTGTCTTCACCTCGCTATCTGCTCGCCGTATCATTATACTAAAGCAGCTTGCTATTCAACCTATGCATGCAGCATCTTCTTTTTTACGACAGCTACATTACAGGGTACTCACGCAAAGGGAACAATGGTGCCCCATAAGTCAGTCTTTGTAAAACGGTGCCCCAGAATGGGAAATTTTAAAGAAGAGGGATAAAAGGTGAACAATGCAGTAATCTATAAACCCCATATGTACGCTAGTGTGTGCGTAAAACTGTCTATATTCTTGTCTTTTTTTCAGGAAGGGGGATGCACCAATGAGGTCCGTTCGTCATCACCTGCGATAGCAGCGATATTATCTGCGAACATCAGTTGCCATGGATATCTCGCGACCTCTGACCTTGAAACCGGTTTTTAAGAACAGTACGTGGAGATACATTTCGTTCGTTTTAGGCCCGCTCTCAACGTCAAACTTCTGTCGTGTCGAATTCAAATAATGTCAATTTTTGGGCCATCATTTGAATTCGACACGGCAGAAGTTCGACGTTTAGAGCGGGCCTTGGGGATTTTTTTTAACAGCAACGAAAATTGGGGATGCAGGATGCGGTAAAGACTAACACGGTTCAGGGCTACAATGATTATGAATGGAACTTGAACACGGAAACATTTGCATGCCTATAGCAGGGATTTCCCTGTAATAGAGATGACAACTTGATATAAAGTGGAAAGTGGGAAGTGAAATTGATATAAATAAACCTGAATTTTTCAAACTCTTGAAATTGTCGAGCGTGGTAATTTAAGAGCAAGTGTACGGTAACTTGCGAATCGACTAACTTCACTCGAATGCAGGATGGTTGGTCCACTCTGGTCGACAGGATCACATGACACGGTTCCATCACTGGTTACCAATAGCTGCATCCATCACAAAGCACAGCAGGGAGCCAGGACCCAGAAGTTTTGTGACGACATTTTGACCATCGTTTGACAAGAGGGGTGCGTTCGAACATGCTACTCTTGCTACTCCCGAGTGCAGGAAAATATTGCGTGCGCATTACTCTCAGTGCAAGAGCATCCTCCCTGTCTGGCGGAGAGTGTACTCTTGCTAACCCGCGGGTCGTATACTCTCGTTCGTGCGCCCAGGAGTATACTCGTGTTAACACAAGTAACACGCTCTAACGCACCGGAGGCGTTTCGGACGTTGATATTAGTGCGAATGCGTACTGTTACATCACAAATCAAGCACTAGTCGACTAATGGTCCTCGGCTGAACTTGCTCTAAACATTTGTCCTTGATTCATGCCACGAATAGGTGACCATGACAACTTGAATTTAAACCTAGCAATTAAATTAATAAGCTTGTGTCTCAGGCAAGACACTTTGCTGCAATTGCTTTCTCCCTCAGGCCTGTAATGGCGCAAAAAAAGTTACAACCATGAGATGTTAGTCTTGTGCGATGGCAATACGACCAAGACTGCCTTGTGAAGGTTGGCCCGGACTATAATGCACCAGTGTTGACTTTATTCACGTGTCGGCCATGTTAAATTGGAAGCGACGTAAACTCTTCAGTTTTGGATCTTGCGTGTAAAAAATGAAAGCAATGAAATAAATGTTCATTACAAATTAATACCAGTCTGCTCTGATGAATGATTTAAACTTTTTGATTAATCATCCCTAATGTATAAGCAACATTAAAAAAATGAAAGTTAGGCTTGGAACGCACTCCAATCATAAAATAGTCTGGCACCATCCCATTCAACAGTTTACAATTTATAAAATAGATTCAGGGAACACGACCGAAAATGGCTTCCTCGAGACTAAGGTCTATTCTCCCGAGGGACTCGGGTTAATAAACGAAAAGCTTGCATTTTGACAAAATCAAGATTATGGCAGTAAAGAGCAGTTTGATTATTGCCAAGGCAAGCATGACGGTAAATGGCCAGACTATGAATGCACATCACTACTTCAGTTTCATTCATGGTCTTTATTTACGCTCGTCTCCCTTTCCACTTGGATGGATTTGTATCTTATTATCCAAAGTGCAGGATGCACAAATCCCACGTAAAACCCAAAGCGGTGCGAGAGACAGTGATTGACAAAAAACATCTTCATAGGTTTTTACGCTGACGCCTACATGTCACATTTCACTGTTTATTATGCTCTTTGCGTTTGCATATAATACTGGTTGCATTCATGGGATACAAACAACCACTTTCGAGTTCCTCGACCGAGTGCCATTGTGTGGCATGCCTTTATTCTTTCCTTTTACGATCGACAGCTTTTCAGGGGGATGTCAGCTGATCCTCGTGTGGGGACCATTTTAGGGAGCTAACGGCAGACACTCAGTATACAGCGTCGGTTGCGGTGCGCCGAGCACGCTACATCGCACCCAAACTGGGCCGCAAGCACGTATAAACTATACACCACAGTCGTATAAAGAGAAAAGTCACCAGATTAGGAAGTCAACAACCGAAATATATAGCGGCACTGCACTTTGCTTTAACGAGCGTGAGAGGAATGATTCGAGAGAAATTAACGAGACAGTGCCCCACGCACTGCGTGAGATCGATGGTTTTTACCAATTTGGCACATGAGACACTGTGACTACAATCTGCCATTAATTTCAACCGAACCTTAAGGATTCTTTACTTTAGGTTTACCAATTTTACAAGCGAATCTGTCCTCAGAGAGAGAAAGAAGTACATCATTTTCCTTTGGGAGGACTCGGGGGACGATTTTGTTGCGTGTCTTTCTCACTGTATTGTCTTAAAGCTCATCCTTTTAATCCATGAGTTTTCTGTTTCGGCACACCACCCGCGACGCCAATGGTTAACTGTCTGTTTACGTATCTCGAACCCCTACCCGTTTTGGTAACTGCTTCATTTTGGTCGCTTACCCTGTCTCCCGATCGGAATTTGCAGTTTTGCCAAGAGCCAGGCACCAGGCACCAGGCACCAGGCTAGCTCTAGGTAGGCAAAGTACCAGTTGCTTCAATGCTTGACTGTTGATGTTTAATTCAAGGAGTTTGCCTCGTAAGCTGGACACAAGTCAAGAGGCTGAATAATTACATTTCACTCAGTGGAAAAAATATGTAATGGCCTCCTGTCAGAGTGAGCGTAATGTAGTGCCCTAGCGGAACTGTTCCATTAAATACGCGTACATCAATCCAGTTTAGTGTCTGGATGGCATTTGCAGTATGACACGTATGTTTATAAACCATATATCATTGTATAGTGCATCCTCATATGAAAAGACTATGGACCGACCTTAACCAGCAATAAATCTGGACAACTGGTAAGAAGTAAAACCTTCAAATCCTAGGTATTGGCAAACCTCATCTAGAATTATTGGACATTACCCAATCTAAATTAATACGGCAGATAGAAGTGATGGAATTTGCCTTTGATGATACAAGCATGGAATTTGGCACACAGTCAGAGTATGTCATGAGACAGATATTGCTGCAGGGCCATCGCAGGTTTGTCCTTTGAAAATAAAAAAAGGTAGAATAACAAGCAGTGGCAGCCATTTTGAAAATTTTGAAAATTGCTTGTTATTCTACCTATATTTTTTTAAAAATTTTAATGGGACAATGATCTGCGATGGCCCTATAACCAAACATCAGCTCTTTCTTAAGACACAGTCTGAGAGCCAAATGCCATTCTTGTATGATCAAAGGCACAATTCCCCCAAATACTACCCCTATCTGCCCTACTATTATATGCTTTCCAGAAGCAGACCAAACAAGGACGAGGCTCAAGGGAAACTTTGGCCACACTGTTATATGGAACTACTTTTTGACACTTATCATTGCCTCGAATATTAAAGTGAAGAGCTGGGCGGTGCCATCGCATAGGATTACCCCGTAATGGCTAAATCCGATCCATTGTATATGTAGACCAGCAGATGCATGGAATCAATTCCAAATAGCCATTCCAAATCAGGTGACTGAAATTGTGCGCACCCTGGGACCAGCTTTACTAGGCCTTGTCCTGTTGATTAGTATTTAAATAATCAGTGTGTACTTTACTCAATTAATGAATCACCCCGCTGCCAACTAGGTCGTTTGGCAGGTGGCTTTCCCAAATCTTCCCTCCTCAAATAAAAATCAATTACTCCCGAAAAGGGGTGACCATGTTGTGGTCCTAGATGTATTAATTACTGGAGGGGATATTATGATATAAGGACAAAATACTTATGAATATACATCGTTGGACTGGAATGCCTCAAGAGGTTGGAACCCATACATACATAATGCATGATGTGTTCCCATTCCATTTCCTCTACTTTCCCATCACGATGTTTTCTTCATCGACCGACTTTCTTGGTGGCGTCATTCTTTCAAACTTCAGTTCCTGTGCTAGTGCTGCGGACCCCAAAGCACACGCGGTTAGTCAGCAGTGCGCCTCTCTCTGAGCTGATTGTCAACGGAAGTGCAGCTGTAGGGACAGTGCGTGCCCATAACCCACATACATGCATTGGCTATGAATTACTAGCACTATATGATTATGATACACCTAAAGGCATGTACGGCAGTGCAAGTACAGTTCAACACGGACCTGTCTACTGTCGGTGTTTGCTACGTGTGTTAGGTTGTATTGGGCGCTAGCGCTAGCAAGCCGAGGGTTTTCTGGGCCCCTCTACGCCTTCAGGTCATTTCGTTCATTACATGCTCGGCTAACTTGCTGTGCGCACGATACTCGGGTCTTGCTAGCGAGGCTGTAAACACGAGATCGGCCCAAAGAAAAAAAAGCCGCAGCCGCTCGTCGTAAGAAGATTGAGTGCTCGCTGGACAGCTATCGACTGTACACAACGGTGAAGGAAATATCTGATTTGGTAGCTGCAATACGTACACTGCGCATGGAGGCCTTTATACACACGAGATTGTGTACATCGCTCATAAGCGTAGCGAATCTACTGTACCCTTCAGAGTTTCAAGTCTCGTTGTGATAGCTGTTTGTTATCATCGATTACTATCAGGAGAACAATTGATCAATGTGCACGCTGCTGAAGGTCGTCGACTGCGATTGAGTGCGATCGAGGGGATCATCGTTATTTGTCTGTGCTGAGGCAGTGTGTGAGCATGAGATAGCTCTATGAGGCACTGAATAGCCGTATGGTGTAACGTGTAAATACCATTGGTCACCGCCTATTGCCATGCAAATCAGCTTGTGTCACCGTTAAGTTGTGCTCTCGCCGTGTACCGAGTGGGTCCCCATTGCATGCTCGGCCGTGGTCTGTTTGCGGTGATGATGATGGTGATATTAATAATACACCTTTGTTTGTCATGGAGACTGGCAGCCGAGCATCATACTACTCATTGGATATCTACTCCGGTATCAGTGTCGAGAAGTAGCGTGCAGAGCTGGCAGTTCTGATGGGGGAGGTGTCGTCTTAAAGCCCGCTGCGGCGAGTCTTTGCGCTCACTCGAGACCGGGGTCTCGCTGGATAGGGTTCACTCATTGGAGAAAAATAGAAGCATGTGTGGTGTGTTGTCTGCTGTGTACACACTAATCTCTTCCAAACCCGTCTACCACCTGCGTGGGTTTATACGAGTACATACGTCTGAAGCCGTTCACAATGTTCAGGGCTCCATGGGTTAGTGTATTATGACGACTTGACCAGCCTCGGTTAAGAAGCTGAATGAAAACGGGAATTATATGCGGGATTTGCCGAGGCAGCATGAAGCTGAAGCAGAGAGCTGTAGCGGTGATGGTGGGCACTGCCATCACCACAGCCTTGGTCCTCATGATCTTGACAGTGGACCTGAAACCAGTGTCCATGTTCTACCAGAGCGTGAGGGTACAGTCTGTCCAGGGAGGCCCCGTGGTGGAGGATGGCCAGCAGGTGCGGGCTGGTGACCACCCCGTGCACCTGCGACGACAGCTTGGTAAGAGCGCCTCTCGCTCGGGAGGCACTGCGGCCAACCTGACGGTGGCCCGGCACACGCATGAGCTGGACCCCCTAGCCGACTCGGCGGGCCGCCACGAACACAAGGATACCGCCTACAGAAAGACCAACTCGAGAACTAATGCCGAGGGGCCGGCACACCCCAGAGACCCACGGACCAGGAGGACTAGACCCAAAGGTTTCCCGGACGAGGGAAACTTCTACAACTCGGACCACAAGTGGCTGAGGACGCAGCCCGAGCAAACTAAGCCCAATACTGGGAAATACGAGAAACTTATGTCGCTGCCTTCTGCTGTGAGTGTGCCCTCCAAAACGGAAAAACTTATACGACTTAAGAAGCCGAAAGGGTAAGTTACAAATATCTTATAAAAAACAAAAAGAACATTTCGTATCTACTAAGTTTGAGTTGTGTGCAAAAACCAGTGCATAGTCTTCAAATGGGCAATGAACTGAAGCAAACAAATGTTGTAATAATTTCTCTGAACTGTCTGAAAATAAATAATACATTCCTAAGATTACACGTTTTAACATCTTTTACAACAAATAGAAGCGCACCTTTTACGCATTTTCCTTTCCATGCTATTTTCTGAAACCCGACGACGGTGAATAACGTCAAATTTGGGATTTTTCCTGCACAAACTTATGATGCCCTTGGTACTGATTAGTGCCCACTTACCGCACATTCCTGTCTGTTACGTACTAGGTCAATATAAAATGCAATTGAAAAGAAATAAGAGCGTCTTAAACACTGAAACGTCTTCCTAATAAAATGGTCTCGGCGCACCATATACAATGATATACAAATCTGGTTATTCGCATTGATAATACATGGAAACCTCCAAGGTCATGAACATCCGTGACATAATACAAATCCTGGAAATCAACCAAATCATAGCGCACAGAGGTGCGGGTCAAGTTTACATTGAGAAAAATTATTGTTGGAGTGAGCCTGCCCTTTCATTTGGGCCAAATCATTCTTACTTTCCAAGTCATTTTTGATTATATGGCCCAATTCACAAAATCGCTTTGTTGCGCATACAAACAAAATCAAACACTCATGAATGTCACAAATGCCCAAATGCCCAAATGCCATTCCTTCTTCATTCGCAAAAATAACCATGGACAATCCACGCCCTCGAGTGTGTTTTATTCCAATTTCCATTTGATTGGAATCAAATATCACTGCACAACCACTCTTTAATATTTCAGAAATTATCGCTTATTTCCTGTTTCAGCCTATCGCTGCTTCACAGAAGGATTTATCATTTTTGTCAGCCCTTTTTGTTTGTGACCTTTTCTCAGTGAAATGTTTACCATGAGTGACATTTCACAAAATTCATTAAAAGTACCGTGCATTTTTGCATGACAATAAGGAAGCGCACTAACAGATGAACGTTAATCCATTCCATGTAGTCAATGGCATGGTTAATGGTTCTTTGACAGGTCTGATAGTAATACACCAGTTTTAACCACTTTAACCTTTTCGAGATAAACAACATTTTCAGCTGTTCGTCAATACGTTTTCGCATTACAAACCACAGTAGAATCACCACTGCAATGATTGCACGTTGGAACACAGACCGTTTACGCGACTTTCACCTAATCTTACAAAAAATATGAACTATCTGCACATGTTATTTATTTATTTATTTATTTTTATTATTACATTTCTTTACCAAGGGTATGCCCAAACAGTTTAAAACTGGTTTCCATTGGGGCCCTGCATACACTACAAATGACTAGACATATGTACAAATACAGTTTATTACAAATACAATACAGCACAATACATAAAATAAAAGCATAATTGTGGGATTACTGCACGATATTGTAAAGCAACTTTTATAAATATTGTACAACTATTAAAAAAAAGTACAGTTATGTAGGCCAGTGCGACATGCAACAGCCGTCGTCTATAACTCGGAAATTGTCGAAAGGTTTCGCTGATCGGCGCCGAAACGTCGTCAATTTAAAAATCTAGGTGTCAGTGTGGACACGGCAATCAGAATTGTGCTACGAACGTTGCACGATTTACCTATACCTGGCCACACTGCCCTTATACCGTACCGACCCAAACCAGTTATACCCTCCGCCCAGCCCCATGCTCCAACCTCTAATAAGACCAGAGGTCGAATCAGTCAACGGAGTAACGTCTTTCATTATGATTGCTCGTTGATGAGACGGCGCCCTTGTATCTCATGCAGTAAATTTATTGTTCCTCATCTATAGCTAGTGCTGGACCCCGACGAAGCCTTAAATAATGCATATTCTCATTATGAACGCACAGCTAGTATATGCAAGACGATGCATCGCGGCATTACAAACGAGCTTTGCGAATGCGTAGCACAATGTTACAGGCAATTAAGCCAAGGTTCTCTTCAGTATTGCTTATAAATAGCTTCTCAGGCATAGTAATTGCAATGCACAGGGACTTAATGGACGCCATCTATTGTGACAAAATAAATCATATTTCCCAATTCCCTTTAATTTCACAAAGTAATTTTATCAACCGCGTGCGTATTTACAATGCGATTGTGTGCGTATGAATCGGGTATAACGCGCAAAGAAAGCGCAATGTGTTTGGTGTCATATTAAATTGAGACTTCTATGAACTTAACCATTGTATAATGACTATCAGCATCATAAATAACCGTGGAGTTCTTCTTCCAGCACTGTGATCCTTTGTTCGTAGAGGCCAGAGATATCACACAACACCGGTCCAAAACCACACATAATTATATTGACACCAAATGGTAAAAATAGGTCATTAGTGAATAGTGGCAAACAGGCTTATAGCTAACAAGACCATCGTAAAGATGTTGTGTATTCAACGTTCTTAAAACAGCTTTAAATAGGTCGAGTTTTGGTTTAAGCAAAATGCTTTCTTATCCAGGAATTTAGATAATGGACCCCGCACACTCTTTAGTTCCCATGTATCCTTCAACATGGATTGAATCCAGTTTGGATCGTTCCCCTTTCCCCCGGGTCGGACAATATACGCCCTCACTTCCTCCATAAAAGTTTTCCGCTCAATAGGAAGAGTTCAAATGCTGCTTCACCCCTTTCAAAACAAATTGAAATTTATGACAGTTTCACCAGTTTCGATTCAGTTTCTCCTCAGGTCCCATGTCTTGCACACATCTAACATGTGCCACATGATACCACAGCAGACTGACGTCTCTTTTTTGGCTATTAAAGCTGAACTTTTTTTGTACACATTTGGCCCAAGGGACTCCTTATTACGATTACCCCACGCTTGCATCATGATGACACGGCCCGACCTTGTGACGAAAACCTGCCGAATACTGTGGTTGCCACGATAACAAGGGCAAGACCACCCGTATAAACAGCCTGCAACCTAGACGGCTGTTGATAAAGATCATTTGCCGTGACCTTAGCAGGGGTCATCCCTGTCATAACTTCCGAGGCTAGATCCGGGAGAAGGGTATTTTAGAGGGGACATCCGAATGCTTAATCCGAAATGTGACTTGGCAAATGTTTTCCCGATGTGGCCTTGTTGAGGCTCGATCCTTCGGCTTGTTTATTGAAGTTATGGAACCACATTTTATTGACATTGGAAAATTGTTACCGAGAAATTAAGTTGTTTTCAGTGTTTTGAGCATCACGCCATCACACAATCGCGAATTAACCCTTTAAATGTAACGCGATCTGTTAGAAAACCTTCCTGGGGAAAGTTTACATCATAAGAATGACCGATGTTCACCATGTGTCAGATCCGTATAAAACTAATCATGACATATAATGTGGTGTTTGGATAGAAATTTCATCAGAATGCTTTAACCTGAAAAGTGAAACTCCAAGTTTTGTTGGATTTTTGTGTGTGAATCATTAGCTGTATAATAGATTTACGAGCTGTGAGTGTGAAATTTCCAAAGTTGTCGGTCGTACTTTTTGATTATTACAAAATACCAAGAACCAGAGTAAAAGTGTAGGATCATATGCGAGAAGCGGAGAACTGCAGCTTGTGGACTATAAATAAAATATTTGTGATGGGCAAATGAAAAGAATCCACAGCTATTTTTTTATCACGCTGAGTATGGATAAAAAGAAGTAGAATTTGAACCACGATGCCAGTGTACGACTATAGTCTTGGTCCAAGTTTTGCAGCCTGTCCCGTGACAAACGCGGTTAAGTTGCTGCGCCGGTGGAGGTATATCTGTTAACAAGATGAACAAATCCAGTCTTAGCAATATTGGCAGCGCTACCTGGGAAATTTCGAGCATACCTCACGCGCATGCAGTAGCTTGTATATACTGCTCGTGTGAGGTATGCTTGGAATTCCCTGGGTAGCGTTGCCAATATTGCCAAGATTTGATTTTATTCATCTTGTTGATACAGCGACCTTGCTTGTCACGGACCTTTTGTATAAGAGGAACTTAAATCTAAGTCCAGTCTTGGAGTTGGACCAAAACAAGTGTATGACTTGACAGCAAAATAGACATAAAGTGACGTAGCCGGTTGCCATGCCAGGTATCAGAACCTTTTGAAGTTCCATCATCACAAGCCAAGCCCAAAATTGGCTTGTACAGCGTGCTCGTGCTTCGCTTGATCAGTGTACACTTCCCGGAGTTTGGGTAACGGCATGTATGAGCGAGCCGTTGCATCCGGTGTGTGTGGGTGCTTACGTTGGGTCTAGCCAGGCCGGAGTGAAATGAGTCACTCGGTGGCAATTGACGTCAAGCCGTTCCCAAATCTAACTGAGTGTGGTGTGTTAAGTTTGCTCAAGGGAGTTTTCAAGTTTGACTTAAAGGAATGATTCAGTTGTTTTCAACGATTTAATAGACCTCTTCGTTTCAATAAAACTAGATTTACATGTACATCTGAAGAAATTTTAACTTTAGTGGAAATTAGAGTTGGTATTTCTTTTGCTATAGCGTCTACCTTCTTATTTTGGTAGACGCTTTAAAACATGAAAGTTTACGTAAATATATAAAAACATACATTTAGATTCACATATAGGCTAATAAAGGGTTTCATACTGAATGAATGTTTTTTTTGGATTGTTTAAAAGTTCTGTAAAGTTACCTCACTTCTCACTTTTGTGACAAAAAAACTGAGCTCGCATCTTTCATGTTGCCGTGCACACAAACTGCGAAAGTTCGTCTTCCCCAAAAGCTTCAAAGCAATTTTAGAGTTACATTGCATTTTTGCATGCCCGTATATTTGTACATCTAGGACATGTATCATCGGATTTATGGCAATGCGCCAGTTCATATTTTTGACACAACACACTATTCACCCTATCCTTGCACCCTTCAATCGCATACAATGTCAAGTTCAAGGGTCGGGTTTCTATGTAGTTCTTTCATAAGGTTATCGCTGTACT